ATAACTATAATAGTTACATGTTTATATCTGTGGTAGTCAGTATTAATTGCCAATTTGACAATATCTAGAAACATCTGGAAGATGGACTCTCTGAGGAATGCCCATGGGGGATTATCTTGGCTGCTTTAACTGATGTAGGAGAAACTATCCTCTCTGTGGGCCAGACTATTTTCTCAGTAGGGCATCCCGGGATGGATAAAATAGAGAAAGTGACCTGAGCATTAGGAAGAATCCATTGCTCTCTCTCCTGGTTGTGGATGTGATGTCCCCGGCTGCTCCAGCCAGGATGAACTACCTGTTGTTCCCTCACTGCTGGTCAGCTGGTCCATTTGTGTACCTAGGAACTTCCTCATGTGAGGGAGCTGGAAGGAAACGTCTTCCAGATGTGCTGCACTGTGTCTGTGCTGACAAGCAAGCACAGAGCACCACACCCCCGGCCCCAGCTGCCCCCGTTAAAGTTTCTCAGGGACTTTAGCTCCTTCCTCCCTCTTCCATTGGAGTTGGACGTTGGGGACTTAAAGAGACACCCAGTTCAGCTCAAACTCAACATGATTGCACCTCCACGCCAATCATTTTCCACCATTTTCCCTAGGTTGTGGGCAAGGGCTAGTTCTTCCGGGGCAATCAGGATCCTATGTTCTCTTTGTAGCTTCAACCTTCCCCAGAAGGCATTGACTCCATCCTCTGCCACCAGGAGGTGAAAGAGCCCTAAGGGATTCTGCCTCCTTAACTCCTTCCTTGCAATCTCAAGGATGTCTGTGGCATTCCTCACTTGTGTTTTCTCAACCACATCTCATGGAGGTCTGCATTTCTCAGTGCGTTCTCTCTTCTTCCAAACGTGCTTCTCTTGAACTTTTATCTAGCTCAGGAAGCGCTCATCCTGGGTTTTGAAAGTCTTCAGCCAGGTAGAAGCCTCTAAGCGTCGATCAGAGCTCTGTTTGTTGTAGGTGGACTGCAGACGCTACTTGCGGTTTTAACCCAAAGATGAGCATCCAGGATATACAGAATCAGCCAGTCATGCTTTACACAGAAATATACAGCAAGGCCGAGACTGAGGTTTTCTTCCTGTTCCCTTCTGTCCAAAGAGAAGATACCGCACAGCTGGATGGGCAACAGCAGCATTTGCCAGGGAGCCTAGAAGCTCTAGAGCTGGGGGCTTCTCTACCATCGGACAAGCTTCACCAAGTCTTCACCTGCATCACATATTGAGGAGGCAGGCCATGAGAAAACAGCCTTCTTCAGATCCTGGAGGGGGGTGTTGCAGTGTTGACTTTCACCCTGTTCCCTGTATTTAGCCAGGTCACTGTCTCTGGTGTGGGAAATAGCTCTGGGATACTCAGCCAGAACCTGATTTTACTGAGATGCTTGGGCACTCAAGTGTAACAAACACTTTTGGTCCAAGTCTGGACGCTGGAGAAGAGCCTTGCTATTCCTGCCAGCGTTGTCTTTGCTCTCCTGAGCCCACCACCAGTACTCCTACTGCCATGACACTGGCAGCAGCTGGATCCGAGGTGTCAGTCCTGCAGCTGTGAAGCAAGCTCCGGTCATGTTAATTCTGTATTCTGTTACTTTGCTGAAAGTGTTGATCTAGAAGTTTTCTTGTGGAATTGTTGAGACCTCATACCATCTTCATTAGGGATAATTTGACTTGTTTTCCTATTTGTGTTCCTTTAATTTCCTACTCTTGTCTTATTGCCCTGAGTAGTACTTCAAGCATTCTCTTGAAAAAGAGTGCAGAGAGTGGGAAACCCTGTCTTGTTCCTGGTTTGCAGGGGTTGCTTTAAGTTTTTCTGCATTTAGGATGATACTGGCTGTGGACTTGCTGTGTGCAGCTTTTATTGTGTTGAGTTATTATTTTATTGAGAAGAGTTATTCTGACTCTTTCTAGCTGCTCACCTTTGCCTCCCAAGTACTGGGATTAAAGAGCTGCTCCATCATCCCTGACCTCTCTAGGACTTTTATTATGTAGGGGTAGTGGATTTTGTCCAAGATGTTCTGCATCTACTGAGATAATCAGTTTTTAGTACATGTATATGATTTATTACACTTGTTGAGTTACATATGCTGAATCATCTCTGCACCTCTGGGATAAAGACAACTTTATCCTGCTAGATGATGTTTTTGAGATTTGCCTGTACACATTTTTAAAAATTTTCTTTCTTTCTATAACATAATTTCTTTATTGATTCTTTGGGAATTTCATATCATGCACCCTAGTTCTGCTCACCTCCCCATCCTCCATGTTTCCCCCTCACTCATGCAGTGTCCCCCGCAAAGAAAGTTCACAACAGCAAAACAAATCAATCAAACAAACCAAACAAGAACAAAACAACCAAAAAAAAACCCCTCTTTGCTTTTCCTTCTTTGTCACCTCTCCAACTTCTCTTAATTTGTTGTGATGGTATCAGGAGCAGTGTGTCACAGAGCATACACTTTTGTACAATCAGCTTCACTAGTTGTTCATTGCAATGGCTTACTGGTTTGGTCCAAGGCCTCTGGTTTCTGGTACACCATCATCACTGGGTCCTCACTGCATCCTCAGAAACTCCTCTGGGATATCCTGTGATTGCTTCTAATCGTGGAGATCCTGTGGGTATCATTCATTCCACAGGACCAGTCCTTTCCTGAACTCTTGCAGGTCCTAGATGGGGTAGATGTTAGCATGGGTCAACCCAAGGTCTGGCTATGGGCCTAGGTGGTAACTGACCTGGTCAGTCTGGGTCACTGGAGCTGCCTGCTTCAGGTGAGGGGGCACAGCCAGCTCCCCAATGCCCATGCCATCAGGGTCAGCTCTCCTTCACCTGTGGTGAGGGATGGGACCACCCTTCCTGAGTATTGGGGCCAGCTCTCCAGCAAGGGCTGGGACCAGCTCTATTGCTGTGGCTTCCATTGAGAAGTAGGGCTAGTTTCACCAGGACCAGTGGAGGGTAGGGTCATCTCAGCATGGCCCTCTATTTTCATCATGCAAGGTTCCTATGCTCCCCTGAGGTTACACAGGCCACAGCATCAACACAGACCCTGGTTGCAACTGGGCCTCAGACCCAGTCAAGACCCTTGGCAGCAGCCCAAGCTTGGACAACACCAGAGCCCTGGTTGATAACACAGGCCACCCAGACAAGCATGAATCCAGCAGTGATACAGCACTTGGACACCTCCATGGCCACAGGTGGCAGCCCAGGCATGGGGCATCCTGTGGTCTTTGATGGCAACACGGACTGTGGATGCCCACACAGACCCTGGCTGTGGTAGTACCATGGACTCAGACATGGCTCTTGGCAGCAGCCTGGGCTCTGATATTACCCTGGTCCCAGGTGTCAAGCAGGCCTCCCACATCAGCCGCCTCCTCACTGCTTTCATTTCTTCCATTCTCTGCCTCTTTCCACAGCACCTGAACCATTCTGCTTCTCTTTCCTTCCCATTTCTCTACCACAAATTTGCTCGTCATAATGGGACCCACTTGACCAGTGCGCAAGACGCCAGGTGGGTGGTGGATGTCTTCTGCCAGCCCTGATCTTGTGGGCCCTGACTGGACCTGGGGGTGGCTAGAACCCACCTGAGAATTGCATCAGGGAGGTCGTGGATTTCTTACCATCAGCCCAGACCTTCTGTACTCATTTTTTTTTAACTGAAGACTTTTGCAGCTATTTTCATCAATGATATTAGTTAATATCCTGACATTTTTAACTGACTAGATCTTGTGTGGATCTTAATAGAGTAACCATGGCGACCGTGAGCTCACGTGCAACAGCCATGCCAGGTCCAGGGGACATTGTTTTACTCCTCCTCTTTATCCTCTAGTTCTTAGAAGTTTTCTTCCAGCTCTTCTGTGATCTTCTCTGAGCCTTAAAGATCAAGGGAGGCTCAATGTAGGTGCTCCATCTATGGCAGACCTTCCTAATCACTTTTTCCTAGCACTTTGAAGAGTAAGAATCTCTGCAGTTACTACCACCCACTAGAATAAGAAGATCCTCTGCCTAAGGTTGAGGGCGGCACACATCTGGAAATACGAATATAAATATTTAGAAGGCAGTTTGGCAAGAGGGCTGCTTAGGAAAATAGTAGGTTGTCGCGTAGCTTTGGCCAGCAAGGAAAACGCGACACCGGACTCTTCTCAATTGCAGTTTAATCAGGAAACCTTGAATAATCTTCTCACTCCAGGGAAAGCCAGCTCACATCTAAAATAGCCCCTGTGTAGCCAACTCCCACAAGCCACGTGGGGAATACGGATAGGCCCAGGTACACAGAAACAAGCCAGATTCTTAGTTTTAGCCTTGTATGGAGTTATTTACAGTTGAAAGCACATTCCACCCAGGGGGTGGAGAGCAAAGGTCAGCGCCATCTTTAAGGTGCGGCACAAAGCAGCTCACTACAGTAGGTCCTCCCTTTGGACCAATGAGCTCTCGAGCCTCCTCCTCCTCCTTCTTCTTCTTTGCAGTTTTTTGAGACAGGGTTTCTCTGTGGCTTTGGAGCCTGTCCTGGAACTAGCTCCTGTAGACCAGGCTGGCCTCGAACTCACAGAGATCCACCTGCCTCTGCCTCCCAAGTGCTGGGATTAAAGGCACAAGCCACCACTGCCCGGCTTCTTTTTTTTTTTTTCTTTTAAAAAACCATGTTTTCAGTACCAGACGTAAATTCCTTCTGTGGAACAGGCCTCCAACTCGACGGAGAGCTGTTGGTTACTCCCATAGGCAGTCTTGCCACTATTCCACCAGTGGGTGCGTTTGTCTGGTTGGCAGGATCGTCTGCAGGGTCTAGGCAATTTAGAAGAACACACCGTCCTAGGGTTTTTGGAGATCTAAGACCTAGAGAATGAACCCAGGTGACAAGAGGCTTGAGGCTGTAGCTGTGAAAAAATATGTTCACAGCATTGGGGGAGGGTTGGTGAGGCTGAGGAACTTCTTATGCTCTCTCCCCTCCCCCATCAGCAATCTCTACACCTACAAGCCCCCAAATATCCAGGGAGCCCATGAGGGTTTCCCCACAACTCAGCAGCTGGACCTTTTCATTTTCCTCAAGTTCTACCATCCCCTCTGCTCTGCATGGACTTCCTACTCACTGAAGAAGGGTCAGAGGGAGTACCCAGACTTCTCAAAGTTCCACCTTATGTAGTACTATGAGCTCCCCAGAAACACCCCAATCTTTCATTATGTGTGACCTGATCCCCGATCTTGAGTTGTCTTGATGGTTCTGGACTCTGTAAGACCCCGCGCTCATGTGTGCCCTTGGGTTGAAATGAGGGTAGTCAGTCATAGTGCTCCTGAGAAGACAGACAATGAGGCAGGGCAACCTGTTTCTCTCACTCACTAGTGTTTTTGGAAACTCTTCCCAGCATTCTTCCCTGTCCCCAGGACTCCTTTGGCTTCAGAGAGCTCATTCCTCAGGAATTTTGGCCAAGGGACACCCTCACATGCCTCAAGGGAACCGCCTTCCTGACCCAGAATCTTTCAGCTTTTTTTCCATCTTGAAGTCATAAACTGTTCATTTTCTCTTTCCTGGAACTGTTTATACTGCCCAGAATGCACACAGAGAGGTTAAGTTTCACTTCTGTTTCCTGAAAATGTCTACCCACCAGCCAGCTCCGCCTATCGACAGAGACAGCTGCAGAACATTCCTCAGAACGCTCCTCTCTGTACCCTGGGCTCATTGCTCCACTCTCCACAGAGGCCCCACCCTCCCCACCTCTGCTCTCCCGGTCTCTGCTCTCCTTGATACTTTCCTCAAGGAGCACAGCTCTGTGCAGCTTTTGGTGACTGTGCTCTGGGCTGCAGTGAGCAGCAGACTCAGGGCTTTCTATTTTCGTGGAAGCTCTGGCCCTGGTTATTTACAGCAGAAACTCTTTGGAGCTGGTGAGTGAGAAAAGCCTTTGCCTTGGCAGTGACCCGGTGTCAGCTCTGTGGGCAGAGGGCAGAGCTGGCTTGGCTAAGCAACAAGTTGTGCCATCATCTTTATAGGGAGCCATGGGTCTGGAGCTGCTGTTTGGTGCCGCTGGTGCCGTGGAGTTGTGGAAAAGTTTGGACCGAGCAGAAGGGTTATGGGTGACTCTCCCGGAATCCATGAAGTTCTCACTGTGAAACAGCTGCCTGTTCTGAGTCTAGTGTTCCACTGCCAGGGAGCTATGGTCACAACTCTGTGAGGTTTCCATAGTTAGCAGAACTCTAAGTAATGTGTCAACATCGCTCCTGTTTGCCGAGGTCTGATGATGTCCGCCCTGCTCTATAACAGGACGTTCTTTCCATTTTCACACTCAGAGAACACACCTGAGAGCAAACGTGTCTGTTGTTTAAGATGCTCACAGACCTCTCTTGTTCTAGAACTCATTTTGTGTCATTAGTAAGCAGAGACAAAGCAATTCTTATTTGATGTGGGAGGTGATGTATGCTATGAATATGTTTTAGTGCCATTGGTTCATGAAAAAACTGCTTTCAGCCAGTAGCTTAACAGAGTAATTCCAGGCTGAATTATATACATACACATACTAACATATATATGTGTATACACACACATGTATGTGTATGTGTGTGTGTGTGTATAGATAGATAGATAGATAGAGAGGGAGAGAGAGAGAGAGAGAGAAAGAGAGAGAGAGAGAGAGAGAGAGAGAGAGAGAGAGAGAAGGCAGAGTCAGTGGGATGCCATGTAGCTGCCAGAGTAGAAAGACGCAAGCCACCATCCAGAACCTTGTCGGTAGGCCATGAGCTTCATGGCAAAATATAAATAATAGAAATGGATTAATTTAAGATAAAAGAGCTAGCTAGAAATACTCTTAACTATTGGCCAAACAATATTGCATATAATATAATTTCTGTGTATTTATTGAAGGACAAAAACCACCAACAGATTGGTGTGCCAACGTGGTTGAAATCCATGTAAAACCTGAGAAAGCTTAAAATGTATTCTAGACACAAAAGAACAGAGTTAATAATGTTTTTTTGGTAGCAGCATTTTCTTAGTGGGTTCTATTCGCAAGAAGTAAACAGACACACAATTCTTTTTAAGAGAAGTCTTCCCGACTCACTGGTAGAAGCAAAAATTGCACTGCACCTTGAAGGCTTCTTGGTTCACCAGCATGAATGGCTCTGACTCTTTTGGGAGGTCTAGCTACAAACATTTAAATAGGGTCTGTGAACAAAATGCTACAATTTGCTTAATGGGGCAAAATGGGGCATTGTACATGACTCTCAGAGGCAGCAAACATGTCTCTGCCCTATTGGACTGGGTAGAGCAAACAGGCAGAGCCATGTTGACCCTAACCACACCCACTTAACATTAAAAAAGTACTCTGGTCAGAATATAATTACAGATACACAATAAAGACACATTCAGATGAAAAAGACCTCTGAATGTGTCACAGTGTTGGATAAATACATGTAGGCTTAGGAGAGAGAGGAAAAAGAGTATAGACAGTTATAATATAAAAGAGTACAGACAGTCACAGATTAAAGGAGTAAAGATAATAAAATAAATATTAAACTTGTAGAAAGAGTAATAGAGTAAGAAGAATAAGCCACATAATGATGGAATGTACACAGAGAGTCTATATGTATATATATATGTGTGTGTATATATGTATATATATATATATATTCTTTTGTTTTCTTTGAATTTTTTTGACTGTGAATGAGATAAGTACAGTGAAACAGAGAAACATTTCATTATATGGACTGCTAAGCTCAACCAACATATATGTTTTAAAGGTATCTTGAGTTCAAAATTTGAGTCTAAGGATATGTTGCTTTGGAAAGGAGGTTTGCTTTTGTTTCTACAGAGGATGAGAACTTATGGATTCCTTCCAGACTAACATAGTTTGATGAACCAAGACCACCTGAAAGGTCTCCATGAACACTCCAAAAATCACTTCACCCAATAAACAGAAGGAAGTAATTTGAAGCCCAAATTCCCAAATATTGTTTGTAAATGTTTCTTTACATTTAAAGGGAGATATGCTATAGAGATGAGTATTTTGCATTGGTGTGGATCTTGATCTATTGATACAAATTTAAAGTCAATTTTGTTTTATGTATATTTCTGTTCCTGATTACAGTACTGTGTTTGTGCAGTTCATTTAAAATGTAATGTATAATTAATAAATACAGGTTAATAGATAGTCATCTATAGTAGTCAAGTTTGCAGTCATAGTAGTTACGTTTTCTAGATACATAGAGATATATTTCAGTTAGATAGATATTCTTCAAATCTTTCAGAGACCTTCAGAATATGGCATTTAAAATGTTTTAAGAGCTTAAGACTTTTTATGACAATGAAACACATCTGCTCCTGGCAGCACCAATCTACTTCAAGAGGATAATGGGCATTGAAGAATCTCCTCATGGAGTTTGTTAGCCATTTAGGCAAGAAGCTGCTCTTGCCTGGACTGCTTAACTGAATATGCAGGACCCACAAAGAAATGACTGCTGAACTTACCTAAAGGTGAGGCCATCCTTCAGGGTTCCTGCTTTCTGAAAAAGTTGGCCAGACATTCTACAGGACACAGAAGAAAGTGACTGATACTATGAGCCTGTAGGCTGAAGATGGATGCCCCAATGGTACAGAAGAACCTTGGATGACTGTCCAGGCAGCAAGACATCTCTGTCAATTCTAGAGTTTTGAAAGTTACTTACAATGTACTTCCTGTTAATGTAGGTAATATTATATCCTTCTAAAGTCTTTGATGGAGTTGAAGAATAGATATAGTTTTCCTTAGTCATGATAAAAGATAAAATAGATACAAATATTTTAAATATAATCCTTGCTTAATAACTGTTATATGTAATTTTACTATGTTAAAGTTAAAACTTTTTTTATTTAAACAGAAAAAGGGATTCCCCTCTGTATGCTGTGATTACCATTAATGAATAAAGAAATTGCTTTAGACCTATAGCAGGGCAGAATTTAGCTAGGTGGGAAAAACTAAACTGAATGCTGGGAGGAAGAAGGACAGAGTCAGGGAGAAGCTATGGAGCCTCCTTCAGAGACAGACATGCCAAAACTATGTTGATAGGCCACCAACTTGTGGTGATGCACAGATTAATGGAGATGGGTTAAATTAAGATGTAAGAGTTAGAAAATAAGAAGCTAGAGCTAATGGGCCAAGCAGTGATTTAATTAATACAGTTTCTGTGTGATTATTTTGGGGCTAAGCAGCCAGGAGCTAACTAGAAACCACCATACAAAAGATGGGTGTCCAGTTTTCACCTCAGGGTCTCTGACTGGGCATCAGAAGGGGTTTTGAAACGTTAGTTAGATGGGACTGGTGAGACACCTCAGTGGACAAAGGGCTTTTGCCACACAGACCTGAAGACCTGCAATCAAGCTCCTGAACCCATGAAAAGGATGAAAGAGAGAATCAATTCCACACGATTGTTATCCGACATTCACACACAAGCTATGGCATAGCAGCCCTCCCACACAAAATATGTACACAAATAATAGCACCAATGATAAATACAGAAATCAAAAGATCAATTAGATGACAGTGAACCTGTGCCTGCTGCAACAGGACCAATGTGAAGATAAGAACTGGGTTAACTAACTGGAGGAGACAGCTTGCTGGAGTGAAGAAAGGAGGTGTGTGGTCCATGTGTCCCATCTGATTCACAGGCAAAAGAGAGCTGGTGCGGAGTCATCCCGAGTCCTTTCCTGGGGCATTCTGGGAAGGCTAGCTTCAAATGTGATGTGCATATGAAAGAAAGTTGCTATTAGTCTTTCTGACTCTGTCATATGTGGAACCTAGATTTAAACTGATATGTTTGTGTATGTACCAGTGTATATATGAGTGTGTATTTATATGTGAGAATGAGTAGATCATGAAACCAGAAAGAAAATCATGAAAAAGGAGGAGATCTTACGGACAGCAGGAAAGAGAGATGGTAGTGGAGTACATTCAAACAAAAGCAGAAATTGAAACCAACTGGGGAAAGAGACAGAACCAACTGTGGGGAAGGGGACACAGGGAATGGCCATCGGAGAGAGAAATGAATAAGGACAAAGTTTAATGTCATGTGTATGGAGGTGCTATAATTTCTTCACTTTGTGTGTTAGCTTAAGGAGCTGACTAAATATTACCGTTCTTGTTTTTTTTGTTGTTGTTGTTGTTTTGTTTTGTTTTGTTTTTTGGCTTTGATTCCAACTCATGGGATCTGCCAGAGAATGTCGAAAGTGTTCCTGTGAAGGTCTAGGAGTAGGAATATATAAGTGTAGGATCCAGGTGTAGGAATATAGAAACATAGAAATACAAATTTGTAAGCCCACCTGCCTACGCTCTGCTTAACATTAAACACCGACTGGCCAATTTCCTTGCTATCTATAAGTAAGCTCTGAGCAAATATCCCGGGTTTGTTTTCATTTTTACTTTCTTTATTTCTATAGGTCATAAAGGAAGCTAGGAACTGAATGAAGATGAATTACATGCTATCAAAATGCACAGGCCACAGCTGAACTTGACCTGGTGGAAATGTGTAGCTCTAAATACCCATGCTAACAATACCAGAGAGCGTACACTTGGTAAAGAGACACAATGTTTTTTTGGGGGGGCGGTTGGTTTTGGTTTTTAAGATTCATTTATTTACTAAGTATACAGTGTTCTGGCATGTCTGCCTGCAAGTCAGAAGAGGGTACCAGATCTCATTACATACATGGTGGTTGTGAGCCACCATGTGGTTGCTAGGAATTGAAATCAGGACCTCTGGAAGAGCATCCAGTGCTCTTAACCTCTGAACCATCTCTCCAGTCCAGTCATGATGTTTTAAAAGGCCTCAAACCAACAACCTATTTCACCCCCATAAAGAAACTCAAAACATAAAAGTAAACTCGGTTTCAGAGCAAGTGGGGAGATAAAGATCTGAACAGATAGAAAGAGTGGCAAAAACTAGCCAAAGTTGGTTCCCGGGGTGGCGGGGGGGAGGGGGAACAATCAATATAATTTATAAATCACTAGCTAAAGTCCAGCTAGACTGAGCTGAAGAAAGGCATAATGACCAAAATCAGAAATGGAAGGGGAGCATTGCTGAGTCTGTGGAAATAAAAAGAATTATAAAGATCTGTGGAAGAATTTGCCCCAACTCATGAGCCAACATAGCCGGAAGAGTGAAACTCCTAGAACATTATCAAATGATGTCGTCTTAGTAGAAATCTGAGGAGACTGTACCAAGTAAAAACTGAATGAATACTTTTGAATCTTCTCAATGAAAAGTCCAGTATATGACAACATTTCCACACTGTATGCTCAATAGTATGAAAAAAGGGGGGCTGGGATGATGATTCTATAAAGAAATGACAAACATTTGAGAAACTAGATATGTTTGAGCAGATTTAGGCACACGATAACATACAATGATACATCACATGGTACCCTGTTAATCTTTGCTTTTTTATTAATTAAGAGTGAATTGTGAGCATGTGTTTGTGCATTTGGAGGCACTGCCCCTGGAAGTGAGGGAGCATCCCTCAGGTAGGCTGTTACAAGGTGTTTCCTGAGCCTCTAAGTCCACCGGAGGGAACTTCATCCTTGAAAGTCTTGAGGAACTCACTCACTCACCCAGGATCAGACCCAGATTCTTGGCTTCTAACCCAGAGCCAGGTCTCCTCGTGTCCTCAAAAATCACTGCAGGGAGACCTCTGTGGCCCTGCAGAGTCAAGGCATGAGCGTTGTGGCCATCACTGGAGAATGACCCTTCTGCTCGGACTTTCAATGTGGACATGAAGGGGTGGGCACTGTCTCCTGGGGAAGTTCCTTGTTGACCTTGATTTGCCCTCTGTACCAAATGGGAGCTTATCCAAAATCTCTAAAGAACGCTACATTCAGGGGCTTTCCAGGGCAAAGTCACTGTTCACAGCCAGCCCTTAGCTGACTATTGTCTCCTCCCTGCATCCCTGTCTTTGGGAATGACAGTGACTGATTGCATTTCCCGAGTAGCTGCAGTTATTGAGTTTCTGATTGCAAAGATGCTGTTCATTTTACTTGATTTTCTAATGAAGCAAAATCTGTGTATAACCCTCACAGGTAGCTACTCAGCTCCACACGTTGAAATCACCAGATGAATAGGATGCAGAGGCTTCAGGGTATGAAGTGAGGACCCAAGGATTGTCCTGCCCAGGTCACTTTTTATATGAGTCTCCAGCTCTGTAGGCATCCAATTGCTGCCAGTTTGTGCTCAAGAGGTAGGCAGACATACCCCACTGTCTCAGGAACCCCAGACAACTAATTGGTGGTAACTGTTAGCCAGAGGCAGTAGCACCTTAAATCATGAGGACATCTCAGGTGTACCTTTGACAGCTCCCCGACTCCACTTCCCTCTTTGGTCCACCCGGGACAGACTCCTTGCTCTGGCTTTTGAGGTCCTCACCACTGTAGCCCATCTGCTCTGACTACTTGTATTTTTCACTGCCTTCTAAAGCGTTCCCAATATAACCATGAAGGCTTTGACAACTATAGCTAGTCCTGATTTACAACGGCTCCACGTGACACTGGTGTGAGATGACCTGCTTTCAACAGAAACAGAGCTCGAAGTGTTGAATTCGGGTCCTTCTCCAGGCTAGCCACATGTGGTGAAACCATCTCAGGATGGTAGGAGGTCACCGTGGACCACGCTCTCAGTCAGCCCTAGCATCGCATGGTTGTTTGTACTGTCACCAGCAATTTTTTTTCTTAGAGATATTTAACATTTTGCACGAGATAGCATACAGTTTACTATATACCAAACTGTGTGTCAGACGATTTCACCCCAGCTGCAAGCAAATACATGCTAGCAAGTTAAGTAGGTTTGGCTTGGCTGTGCTAGTCCAAAGACTAAAGAGATGAAATTCAATTTTATATTATTTCCAACTTACTAAGGACATACCTACAAGGTGTTGAAATGTATTCATATTAGTTAGCAATGATAATGACATAAATATCTAAGGAAAATGGCTGAAGGAAAGAGAGATTAATTGAGATCTTGATTGGCGAGAAGCCAGGGATGCCTGGGCAGAGCGGCTTAGCACTTGGTTGCAAAAATATGTCAGACTGTTAACATTCTGGTGGACCAGAAAATAGAAAGAGTGGGGCCAGAACCAGGGACTGGCCTCTAACTTCAAATGGCCACCACTGGCTGGTGACTTTCTACTACCAGCTAGGACCCACCTCTTAAAGGTCCCCCAGCCTCCAGAAATAACAGCTGCTGGGGAACTAGCTAGCACTCAAAGCATGAGACATCAGGGGACATTTCCATTTTAAGCCATAACAGCAATAAACAGGGCTGGGAATTGAGCTCAGTGGGAGAATGTGCTCAACATGTGTCCAACATGCAATATCAAAGCAACAGACAGAAACCACAAATTCCACTGAAATTAATAAACTCAGCTACACTATTTTCTTTTCTTTCGCAGTGTTAGACATTGGACATGGGTCTTACAAATGCTGAGCAGATGCTCTACCCCAGGTCTGACATCACCTCCATTTAATAGATGAGACCATAGATGCTCAGAGAGACTGTGAAACCTGTCAAGACCAATAGAATCATCTAGACTCTGCTCTTCTCTTTTAACCTAGCCTAGATCTACGTCTCAAGGCTAAGCTCAAATCTCTATGAAAATGTTTCTGGTTGTTTTATGGATAACAAACGCTCATATTTCAGCAATAATAGTAAAGAAAACCTAAGCAGAACAATGTCTAATATCACCTCTTAAAATAAAAGCTAACCTGGACATGGTGGTGCATGCCTACAAACTCAGGATTTGAGCAGTACAAACATGAAGATCAGATCAAGGACATCCTTGTGTCATAGTGACAATGGGGCTCATGAGACAACCCTCCCACACACAAAGAAAAGCCAACCCAAACCAACCAACCTGAGATACTGTTAGTGTCCAGACATACCTTGGTTCTGCCCCTTGGGAACCTGACACTCCTCTGCCTATGGCAAGTAGTTCCCTGACTATACGCAGGTGCAAATGTCCCTTCAAGAGACAAGCTCTGCCCAGTCCTGATATCTGCCCCCCACCCCGCCCACAGCCAAGGCAAGCAGGTCTCGGTCTCTCTCACCTTTACTCTGTCTCTCCTTCTTCCCTCTCTCCCTCTCTGTCTGTCTCTGTCTCTGCCTCTTTCCCTTCCCTCCCACACCCTGCCCTCCCAATACCTTCTCAGTAAACTCCACACTCAAGCTTTCTCTGCATGGCATATTCTGTCACCTGCTGCGGGCCTCACCCGACCCGCCAAGGTTCCAACTCACATCTTATCTTAACAAATACAAAACCACACAACTTAAAACTATGAAAATCAAAAGGTAAACAAGTTCGATGCTGGATCTCTTTCTCTCGATCCTGGCTGGACTCCTTGACCCTCTGCTGCCCCCATGTGGTTATGTGCTTTCTTAGCTGGTACAGCTAATGTGAGCAGCTGAATTCTTTTTTTTTTATTTATTTTTTATTAAATTATAAAAGTTTCCATTTCAGCCCCTCCTCCCAACACCCTCCCACTCCCCCCACTCCCTCTCCTCCTCCCTCTCCATCCCCTAGAGCAGTCAGGGTTTCCTGCCCTGTGGGAAGTTCAAGTTCCTCCCCCCTCCCTCCAGGTCCAGGAAAGGTGAGAGTCCAAACAGACTGGAGCGCCAAAATCCAGTATATGCAGAGGAAGCAAGTCCCAGTGTCATTGTCAATGGCTTTTCAAAAAGGCTCCGGGCCAGCCACATTCAGAGAATCTGGTTGGATCACGTCCTCGTTCAGTCCCAGTCCAACAGGCCTTGGTGAACTCTCATTATATCAGTTCCCTTGTATCAGTGGGTGCTCGCATCCCTCGCAGTCCTGATTACTTTTTTAATTTTCTTAAAAAATGGGGTACTGAACTGAACAGAGAATTCACTACAGATGAACTTCGAAGGGCTAAAAAGCACTTAAGGTCATGCTCAACCTCCTTAGCAATCAGGGAAATGCAAATCAAAACCACTTTGAGATATCATCTTACACCTGTCAGAATAGCCAAACTCAAAAACACCAATGATAGCCTATGCTGGAGAGGATGTGGAATGAGGGGAACTCTCATCCATTGTTGGTGGGAATGCAAACTTGTGCAGCCACTGTGGAAATCAGTGTGGCGGTTTCTCAGGAAACTGGGAGTCAACCTCCCTCAGGACCCAGCAATTTCACTCTTGGGAATATACCCTAGAGATTCCTTAACATACTACAAAAGCATTTGTTCTACTATGTTCATAGCAGCACTATTTGTAATAGCCAGAACCTGGAAACAGCCTAGGTGCCCCTCAATAGAAGAATGGTTAAAAAAGGTGTGGAACATATACACATTAGAGTTTTACTCAGCGGTAAAAAACAATGACATGTTGAATTTTGCATGCAAATGGATGGAAATAGAAAACGCTTTACTGAGTGAGGTAAGCCAGACCCAAAAAGAGGAACATGGTATGTATTCACTCATAAGTGGATTCTAACCATAATTAAAGGTCTTTGAGCCTATTATTCGTGATCCTAGAGAAGCTAAATAAGAAGATGAACCTGATGAAGATTATTTAGCTACCCGCCAGGAGGTAGGAAATAGACAAGAGTCCCAGGTAACCTCGGGTGCATGGGGGGGTGGGAGGGTTGTCGGAAAGGGAGAGGGTTAGAGAGAAGGGAGTAGGGGAGGATTGGGGAAAGATCGGGGGACTGGGATGGGGGGGAGGGAGGAAGGATGGATATGGGATCAGGCAAGTATATACCTCAACTAAGGGAATCATTTTAGGGTTTACAAGAGACTTGATTATAAAGGGGATCCCCAGTCCAAGGAGAGATCCCCAGATGGTTCTCTGGACAGAGGAGAGGGTGCCTGAACCGGCCTTGGCCCACAACCATACTGATGAATATTTTGCATGTCACCATAGAACTCTCATCTGGCGATGGATGGAGATGGAGGCGGAGACCCACGTTGGAACACTGGACCTAGCTCCCTAGGTCCAAATAAGAGGCAGAAGGAAAGAGAACGTGAGCAAAGAAGGCAAGGGCAGAGGAAACCTTCATCCGACGTTGGATGGCGATACAGATGGAGACCCATATTGGAACACCGAACTGAGCACTCCACGGTCCAAATGAGCAGCTGAATTCTTAAACAATTCTTTACTCTCTTTTGAAATACCAGTGGCCTTGTCCTAAGTAAAGTGCCATCCACAGAACCATGCCACTCTGCTTCCCACCTCAGGTAATGACAGGTCCGTCTGGCTGCAGGTTAGCCCACTGGGCATACTCTAAAGGACTAACCTCTCTCATTCATTCATTCCTTCATCCCACCATCAAAAGCATCTGCTGACCTAAAACACACCCATTCCTGACTCCTTTACTGTCTGCTTCCTCCTCCCTGACATTAGCACTGGTGTTGCCACTCTTCATGATGGCAATGCTCCCTAACTGGCCTTACCTTCTAAATAAAAAGTATTGAGTGATGTTATGTATATACAGCACCTCTGGAATTCCTTGTTTCCTTGACTCTTCCGTCATTGCATAGCCTGTCTCCTATCCCAGGCTACTGACAGTGAATCTATCTTTGTAAAAATAAAACCTTCCTATGAAAGGCTTTCATCAGAAACTTCCCCCCACTCAACTACCACCCAGACTGCCTTCCTTCGGTTCCCCCATAATTCCCTCACATTCAGTCTCCTTGTCCACCCCCTGTTATTCCAACACTGCAAGCTGACACCAGCTTCAAGGCCTTTACGCTCCAGTGTTACATCCCCACAGAGGGCTTTTCCCAGATACATCCTGCCTTGCTAACTCATCTCCCCTTCACCTACTGAACCCTCCCCTCATGCTTGATTTAGAGTTGAATTCCTTTTCCACCCTAGGTCTGTTTACTGCCTCGTGTCCCACAGCAAACAATGCCAGTGCACAGGATATTTTATTTGTGCTGGATGAGCTTTGCTGAATTCTGGTCTCCTAGTTGGAACTTAGGTTTCCTGATGTCTGTTTTGCATGCCCCAGGCTCTGAAAACAGTGCCTGTGTTAGGTTATCAGCAAATACCCTTTGGACAAATAATATTTCTGTTATACAAAACAACCTTGTAAAGCTTGTGTCTCTGCTCAAAGGTCTCAACTCTACATGCCGGGTATAGGTGGTGGTTTTGTTTTCTTCCTTTGAACAAGACCATGTAAGAAGCCACTTCATTTCCCACTGATCTCCGGAGAAAAATTATTCTCTGTCTCATATCAGTGCTTTTTCTGGATCTCCACTTTCACCTCCCTTAGTCTGTGCCGTGCCTTCCTGCTGCACACAGTTCTTCAGCTCAGGGACCACTGCTGGTCTCCTAAGCAGAGAGAGAGAAGGCAGGCAAGTGTTAATACGATTAAGGAAAGACAAGGGGAGAATTAGGTCAAAGTGGAGAGTTACAAGAAATAACGGAAAATTACTCACTTCCCCACTACCCCCAACACCAGCAGAAGACAGTGACCACCACACTGGAGAGAGACAGACAATAGGAGGAAGCGGATAGGCCGCTGCATAAATAGAAACTGAAAAATGCACCAACCGCTGGTGTAGGAACTGCCAAGTCGGGATGGCATGACAGGAAAACTGTCACTCACCTGTGGATGGGTGTCCTGCAGAAAAACAAGCTCAGCGCAGACATCTGTCGCGGGAGTTCTAGTGTTAAAACAATCTCATTGTCCTTTTCCTGTGCTCGCTCTTACTGGGTGAGAGGGGACAAAAAACAGCTGCTCCGTCTGGTCCAATCCCCATCCTTAGTCTCCACTAACCCCTCATCCAGGGATGCCCAAGTCACTCAGGTAGGAAATGTCCTACCTCAGACTACAGGGCTTAAAGAGACAAAAGCCTCCTCTCACATCAAGGGAACATCAAGGAAACGAGGAATTCCTGAGGTGATATGTGTGCAAAATGTCACAATCTTATCATTGCACATTAAACACAGGTATTAAAATACCATACTATACCTTGTAACACACCAGTTACGAAAAGGGAAGTGTGAGAGAAAGGAGACATTTCAAGGAGACGGCAGTGTGGGAATGGCTCAGATCCACTTCTGCACATCTACCCACTGAGTCCTGCCACCCGCCATGATACGTTTCTCTCTCACCTGAGCTACATACGGGACTCTCACTGTCCATGCCAGTGCTGACCACAGCATGTGAGTGAGGAAGGGTGGAGCCCATGACTCTCGTGAAAACCATAAATGTCAGCCCTGGAACTGGAGCTCCCAAGTTGATGATGCAAAAGACCCAATAAGACTGGGGCCAATAGTGACACAGTAAGGAAACTGGCCAGGGCAAGTCCTCAGGGACCAACCAGAACACAAAAATATAGGAGTCTGTAGGAAAGTTTCTTCATAATATATCTGCTCCCAGCCCCCATTTCGGCACATCCTCGGGAAGGGACTTGAGGGTCTCCAACAGTGACTTTGCCCTTTGAGCCCATGACAGTCCATACCTTTGGCTGCCTCATCAAGCAAGCCTACACCTGCAAGTTGTGAGTGATATACAGAGATCGGTCGATATATTAATGGGGATCAAATATAGGTACTAGCTACACATGGGGGACTGAGGTAGGAGGATCATAAGTTTCAAGCAAGCCTCGTCTACATAGCAAGTTCCTGGACAGCTTGACCTACCAACAAAATTCAAACCTGGCAAACAAAGTGCCAATCTGGACACCATACAGGGCATTTATAACCCCGAGGGAGGGGATGCATTGTTTCCATACCCACAAATGTCTG